CTCCTGGGTGTGACGATAAGCTATATCCAGCTTCAAGCCCTTCGACTGGGAGATTACAGGTTTTGAAGAGCGTGGAAACATCTTTTAATTTTTGTTGTTCCCAAGTCTGTTTTGACCCGGGGTGATATCCCCTGTTAGGGCCCCACCTATGGGCAAAAGTGAACACCCCCACAAACACAAACATAGTACTATGAAAGTATAAAAAAAATCATTTTATTGTAAAGTCACCAACAATAGATATTTATCGTAAAATGTTGACAATACCTATTTATAGCAAAATGACCAAGAATACATCTTATAAAAAGTAAAAGTTACCATAATTTACCTCTATTTGAAGGCATGCACTTGAGTTCAAACTATTTACATTTCGTCATTAAATGAATCATTGTAGATCATTTTGACTATGAAAAGACACTGTTGGTCATTTTACTATAAATAGGTAGTGGTGAGCATTTTATTATAAATAGGCATTGTTTGTCACATTACGATAAATAGGTATTGTTGGTCATTTTACAATAAATACGTATGGTTAGTCATTTTACTATAAATAAGTATTGTTGGTCGCATTACTATAAATAGGTATTGTTAGTCATTTTAGAAAAAACACGTATAGTTGGTCATTTTACTATAAATAGGCATTGTTGCACGCTTTACAATAAATAGGTATTGTTGGTCATTTAAATATAAATAGGTATTGTTGGTAATTTTTCTATAAATAGGCATTGTTGTTCACTTTCCAAAAAATAGGTATTTTTGGTCATTTTATTATCAATAGGCATTGTTGGTCACTTTACTATAAATAGTTATTAATGGTCATTTTACTATAAATAGGTATTGTTGGTCATTTTACAATAAATATGTACGGTTGTTCATTTTACTATAAATAGGCATTGTTAAACACTTTATTATAAATAGGTATGGTTGGACATTTTACTATGAATAAGCATTTTTGGTCACCTTACGTTAAATAAGTATGGTTGTTCCTTTTACTATAAATAGGTATTGTTGGTCATTTTAATATAAATAGACATAGTTGGTCACATTACTATAAATAGGTATTGTTGGTCACTTTAATATAAATAGACATAGTTGGTCACTTTACTATGAATAGGTATTGTTGGTTATTTTACTATAAATAGGTATTGTTGGTCACTTTACTCTAAATACGTATTGTTGGTCATTTTACCATAAAAAGGTATTGTTGGTCACTTTACTATAAATAGGCATTGTTGTTCACTTTAATATAAATAGTTATTAATGGTCATTTTACTATAAATAGGTATTGCTGTTGATTTTACTATGCATAGATATTGCTGGCCATTTTAATATAAATAGATATTGTTGGTCATTTTAATATAAATAGGTATTGTTGATAACTTTACTATGCATAGATATTGCTGTTCATTTTAATATATATATATATAGGAATTGTTGGTCATTTTATTATAAATATGAAATGCTGGTCCTTTTTCTATAAATAAGTATTGCTGTTCATCTTACTATATATAGATATTGCTAGTCATTTTATATATATATATATATATATATATATATATATATATATATATATATATATATAGACATTGTTGCTCATTTGACTCTAAATAGGTATTGTTAGTCATTTTACTATAAATATGAAATGCTTCTCCTTTTACTATAAATACGTATTGCTGGTCATTTTGCTATAAGCCACACTTTCCAGAAATACATTTTACCTGTAGTTGAAGACATGTAATGGCGTTCAAAATATTTAGATTTCTTCATTAAATAACCCTTAGAGGTGTTGATATGCCGCTTCAACAAATCAACTAATTATCCTTCTAACTCTCCTTATTTGGCATCTTTGCAAATCACAGATTCAATTTTTTTTATATGGAAAACTGTTTATTAATTATGAAGAGATTAAAACCTTGATTCTTTCCATTGAACGCTGAAGCATTTACAACCGCGTCCTCAACAATATAGGATATTATATTATCGATAAGGCGTAACATATTCATATGAAGATCATATCAATGAAGATCAAAGAAGGATATAAAAAATAATGTCAAATATGAGTATAGAAACAAAGTCCTTAAATGTTTGCAGCGGCAAAGGTCTATATATAAAATACTAAATTAAAATCTAATTAAAAAATCTTTTTCTTTTCTTTTTTAAAAACAATGCAAAATTTACCACCCTTGCATGACTGAGCAAAAAACTTTGAATTTGAGACGCTGTACGTAAATAGGGAAAAATATGTTGAATTTACGGAGGTACTGTATACACATCCGCAGATATTTGAATCTTCTGAAGATGGTCTCCTATAAAATTGGAAGTACAGTGTAACCCGGATGTAAGAGACCCGGATATAAGAGAAACCCGGATATAAGAGAGATTTTCTCTGGTCCCAAATTAGAGCCTGTGTTAATGTATATAAAATAGACCAAACCCGGATATAAGAGACACCCGGATAAAAGAGACTTCTTCTCCGGTCCCGACAACTCTCTTATATCCGGGTTACACTGTATTAAGGAAAATAAAATTTATTTGAAAGAACATTTTTATTGATCAATTTTCTACAACCACCAAGAAATTAATTCGTGACAAAAGTAAAACTAAAATGAATAGCCATAATACGTCTAAATTATTTCTAGTAAGCCGATGGAAGAAATTCCAGGGATAAAAAAAAAAAAAAACTAATAAAAACTAATAATATTTTTTGTATATTAGTAGGACTTTTGACTAAATAGAAGCATGGTGAGAAAGATATTCAAAATAGGAATTTTCGAAGAAATAAAATAAGAAAGTGTTTTTTTCCTACTTGGAGCAATTTTTTTCTCCGCATGTGTTATATAATATATATATATATATATATATATATATAATATATTTTATTATTTTCTTTATTAAAAAATATGATTCCCTCCAGACTCCCCAGAGGATGTTTCCACGATCACTATAACCTCTTTAGGGTTAAACGTTATCTTCTTCACGTATCCGTATAAACTGTGGCTTTTATTATGTAACATTCTACCTCGAGTGGCTACCAGGCCTTTTTCGGGGTGAACATAATTGTGAAACAAAAGGAACCCTCTGTTCCTTTCTGAAAGGAGTCTTTAGAGAGACTTTGAGTGAGTACTATGGCATTAAATCATCCACTTTGTATAGGGGGATTGCTATCTTATAGCAGCTTCTTCCCACGAACCCCTGCTCTGTGGAACCGACTCCCAAGAGGATGTTTTCCCAATCACTACAATCTTAACCTCTTCAAATTTAGCGTTAATCTTTATCTTCCCCACCTATCCACTTAATCTGCATCTTACCCTGTAATCCTTTACACTAACCCTTGGGCCATCCTAAAGGGTGAACCTCACTTTAAAATAAACAAGACAAAAAGAAAAGATCATTTTAAATAGTTTCTTTATTTACATGTGACCCCTGTGAAGTTCTCTCCCACCTTTTTCTATTCCTGTCAAATACCACCATTTTGAATCCTGACCCCACTTTTTTTATATCACCTTTCACCTCGACAAAGGTTTTCTGTATTCTTTTACTCTCCCTGATCCTTTACGTCTTAGTGGCTTTCTCGTGAAATGATTGAAAAAAAAAATTACTACTAATGGTTTTCGAGTGGTGTTAATAAGCCTTTCTCTTTTATTGTTTGCTTATTTCATTCTCTGTGCTATTTGCTTTCACGGACATTCATAAAAGATCATAATCGCTGTTAAGCAAAGATGGCCGCATCATTTCGATTAACGAGTGTTCACATGAAAAACGGAAGTTATTGATTTGGCCCCGCCCGTTTCATGCCCGTTAGTGTTGATAGAGAACATTATCGATTTGTGTATATTTGTGAGCATTTCATTGATTTGTAGTTTTTAATTCACCCATATGCATACCTCTCTTTATATTTCTCTACTCCCATGCTTTTTCTCTCTCTCACAGTCACACATACAAACATATACATACACACACACATACACACACACACACACACACACACACACACACATATATATATATATATATATATATAAAAGAGAACATTGAAGTCAACACTCAGAGGCGACAGGCTGTTTCATGCTAGACGCAATCGGCACGCTACGAGAGTTGTTTTTTTCTCGGCTATTTATATATACGGGTCAGTGGTGCATTGTGTGTAGTTTATTTTGGCGGTTATTTTGCCGGAAGTCGTTTATTTTTTTATTTATTGATTTGGGTTAAACTATTTTGCTTGTTTTTATTTATTTTTATTTATTTTTTTATTTCTTATCCTATATATTTATTTTAATTTTAATCGGTGTTTTATTAACGTAGTAAATATTTGTTTATATCGCTTATTTAAATACTTTTGTTTTAGTTTGGGAAGATAATTAAAGTTTTTTTTATTCAATTTTCGGTTGATTGCTGTAGTTTATTCTAACTATAATTTTGGCGGGAGCAGTTTTTAATTTGTTTATTACTTCATTTATTTATTTTGATTATCTTTACTGGTATTTTCTAACGGTTAATTTATCGAGAACGGTTTGTTAGTTTGTTTATTTATTTATTCTGATTAATTTAGATTAATTTATTTTACTTGTTTTTTAATATTTATTTATTATACTGCATATAAATAAAAATTAAATAAAAACAAGCAAAATAATTTAACTAAATATTTTATTAAATAAATAAACAAATATATATATTCCTCGTGGGTGGGATATTAAATACTGAGATACGTCGAGATACAGTCTAGGCGTCTGTTGAACTCTCTGCTTTGGCAGAGAGGAACCCGGACGAGACTTTGCTGAAGGGCAAGGTCTCGTCCGGGGTGGTAGACAGGCCCTGAACCCGTCTAGGCGGGTTCAAAGGGTATATTTTTGGCCGAGCCAACGAGATCGGAGAAACCCACTTTAAACTCGGCCTTGTGCTACATATATTCCTCGTGTGTGGAATATTAAATACTGAGATACGTTGAGATACGTGTAGATACGTTGAGACAGGTTGAGAGATACGGAGACAGACACAGGGTGTTCTCAGAGAGAGAGAGAGAGAGAGAGAGAGAGAGAGAGAGATATGATTACGGCTTTACTTACAGAGACTTGTACATATACTTTCTACTAACCCGCATGCCTGGACTACTAATCTTCACTTCAAGTCTGTATTCTTACGTTTAATACACATATTTTTCTATCTCAATTTCTGGCGTTGTTTATTTATTTGTGCAGGATTCCATTCACGGGATCCACAACAGCAATTTTTTCTACAGTAAAAGAACTTCACATAATCTTATATGCTTCAAGTTAATATAGACAGAATCATGAACAATTTGTCTTGATTATATGTTAATGCCGAATATCAAAATGAAATGATAATTTGAAAAATTCGATTTTGTTTGTACTAAAGTAGTTAGCAAATACATTCTTTTCTGTTAATTCAATCCAAATCTTTATTTCACCCCCAAATAATAAAAAAAAAGAATTTATATTTACTAAAATTCACACCAAGTTCTCCCAGAACGAGGCCCTTCCATAGGTTGCAGGTTAGAAAATAATTTGTCACCCAAAAAGAAAAGGTGACGCTTTTGGATTATATCGAAATTGGAATATAAGGCCTGGACATCTCCTCTCCAAATATGACTGCAATACTCCATATTAGGCCTGATCTTCTGAAGGTAGATATCACGAGGAGCTAGGTATTTATTGGAACAGTACAGAGAAACGTCTATTTTTCTTACATCTTTACCAATGGGTCGTATTTACGAGGTCCACTTGAGTTGAGACGAGGGGTGAGTTTAAGGCTCAATAGTTTCTCAAGGCACGGAGACTCCCCGATGGGACCTGAGTTCATCTAAACTAGCAGTGATTTAGTAATAAAAATGGAATAACAACTTTATGAAGTCATCTGCAAACTTATAAAAAATAATGTTATTTTTAAGAATGTTAAAATTCTATGTATTACCGTTTAGATTGTTTTATTTAATAGACATTTTTTTTTTAGAAGTGTATTTTTCTGAAGACCAAACGATTTGTGTGAATCTTTTAAAATTTTTTATCACCCTTTAGGCTTAAGCGATTGACCGCCAAAATGATTTGTCGCGGATTCGTTTTTTCACCCCCATATAAAAAAAAATGAATTTATATTTACTAAAATTCACACCAAATTCTCCCAGAACGAGGCCCTTCCATAGGTTGCAGGTTAGAAAATAATTTGTCACCCAAAAGGAAGCGATGACGCTTTTGGATTCTATCGAGACTGAAAAGTGAGGCCTGGGCATCTCTTCTCAAAATATGACTGCAGTACTCCATTTTAGGCCTGATCTTTTGAAGGTAGATGATATCACGAGTTGTCAGAAAGAAAGCAGTACAGGGAAACGTCCATTTTTCTTACATGTATGTACGAGTTCCACTTGACGTCAGGGGTTAGTTTAAAGCCCCATAGAGCCTCCCCGGGGGGACATCTGTTCATTTTGACTGGTAGCCTTAGGCTTAAGCGGTTTACCGCCAAAATTATTTGTCGCGGATTTGCTTTTCGAATTCTTGGAAAAAGGTTTCTTATATATTGTTCAATGAGAGACGATTTTCTTGAAGCTCTTGCGAAAAAAGTGAGCCTATATGGCGGTTTTTTTTTTTCAATTAAAAGGGCCGCTATCAGCCGATAAAGCGGAGAGAGAAAGAAAGAACGGTCGACGAAAGACATATTAACGGTTGAGGAGGGATAAATTAGCGCCCACACTTCAAGGAGACTGGTCTAGCCGAGGTGGTTATAAACAAACGAACAAAAAACTTGGGTAGCAAGTGAAAAAGACAGGTCAGTAACATCAAAGAAGCCATTTGTCATGAAGAAAAGAACGTCAGACAAGGTACCAGTTAGTAGCCATCCGCGGAGAGACGAAAATTCCAAGTGAAAATTCTCCTGTGTTTGGACAGCCTGAAACGAGAAGAATTCGAAGAATTTTTCAAGCATGAACTGTATGACGTTAAAAGGGGCCCTTTTTCAAAATAACTGCAGTGAATGTAGGTCTTTTCGTTTTTCTCCAAAGTTGCTGAACCTTTATTTTTTACAGCTTCTTATATTGTCTTCTCTTTTGTCATTTACAAAATCCTTGTTTTTTTTTTCTTGGGCCAACCTTGAAATTGTTATCCTGTCTTTGAGGCGGACAGAAGGTAATTTTTGTGCAAACTTGAATTGTACCTTTTTCGTAATTGTGTAAAGTAAATAAATGTGTTTTTCCTTTTAAAATGTTACGCGGTGGTCGTTTTGATTTAAACCTTTGTGTCTCTTGTGTCTTGCTGTTTCTACTAACTATTTTTTTCGTGTTTGGAACAAAAACTTGGATTTAGTGGAAATTTAAAATGTTTATACACTATCAGTTATTTACGTTCAATGCGAGAGGACATCTCAAAGCTAAAGATTATAATGACAATGTTAAGAAATTCGCTGCCTGAGGAGAAATTCGAATTATACATGTCGCTATCCATTGAAAAGGAATTGTTCTGTATCCTAGTCGAAACGAAGAGTCTGGTGTCACTTATTACGGAAATAGATCCATTTTTCATCACCAGTTTCAATTCGATGCCAAAAACGGGCATCTTGAGGATTTGCCAGCAGTTGTTTGCAAATGTTCACACGTCGGTGAACCTGGTGATTGGTCAGTTAATGAGGAACATCTCGGCAGCGTCTGTTCTGCAGCGATTGGAAAAGAAAGTCTATCAAATTAATAATATAACAAGGAAATATAAGATACCAAATGAACAGAATGAATTAGCAATATATATATATATATATATATATATATATATATATAGATAGATAGATAGACGCAGCAGATAGATAAATATAAAGAAACGGGTAGATATATACATAGATAGCTCTGAAGAAACTGAGATAGATAGATAGATAGATAGATAGATAGATAGATAGATAGATATGTACAGAGAAAGATATTTAGGTAGATATGAAGAGAAATATATATGAAGAAAGATAGATGGATAGATAGATAGATATGAACAGATTGAGATAGATAGATAAATAGATAGATATAAACATAGATAGATAGATAGTTAGATAGATAGATAGATACGAAAAGGCATAGATAGATATGATCTTGACGGATTAGGTAAAAAGATATGAACAGACTGAGATAAATAGATAGATAGAGAGATAGATGAACAGACTGAGATAGATAGATAGATAGATAGATAGATAGATAGATAGATAGATAGATAAGGAACAGACTGAGATAGATAGATAGATAGATAGATAGATAGATAGATAGATAGATAGATAGATAGATAGTGTGACAGATCGATATGAAAAAGATAGAGAGAGAGAGAGAGAGATGAACAGACTATAATAAATAGATAGATTGATAGATATGAACAGACTGACATAGATAGATAGAGAGAGAGAGAGAGAGAGAGATGAACAGACTGAGATAGATAAATAGATAGCTCAATCACCGGCGAACGTTATATATATATATATATATGTGTGCGTGTGTGTGTGTGTAGTTAGGTAGATAGATATGCAAATAAACAGACAGATGGACAGAGCGCCTTCCGCATAATTTATAATTTATTTTGCCTCTTTTATACAGAAATAAAGAATTAAAAATTCAGCAATGATTGGACACTTAATATTATATGAAAGATACAAATTGCCGTGAACATCGGTAAAAATCCAAGAAAACCTTTGTTTGTTTGGGAAGGACTACTCGACAATGATCCCCTTCCGGGGAGCCAAAGTTGAACAATTCTGTCAGTCAAATATAATAGAATTATTCAACGAGACTCTAATTTGAATATATTTCAGTTTCTAAATGTTATACCTCCGTCATTTTACAAATTATTCTTCATCTAATTCTGGGCTTCAAACCGTAGAAACTACTAAAAAATATGGAAGAGCGCGCATAAGTATGGCAAGGAACTCAACCTGTCAACCCACGACCCCAAGAAATTCGCGTAAAGGATAAATAAATAAGAAAAAAAAAGGTTTTATAATTTATTCATTATGCAAAACCGTTTTCCCAGGTATGTCATAAAGAACTATTTGAACTACAAAATTGTTGTGGTAGGATCCACCTAATTTGCATAGTGGAGTACCGACCATATAAATATGGTTGGTACCGGGAAGAGAGGCGGGAATCAAGAGATTCACTCTCAGTCGAACTCTCTGCATTTTGCAGTGAGGGACCCGGACGAGGCTTTGCCGAGAGGCAGGGTTTCGTCCGGAGTGGTAGACAGGCCTTGAACCCGTCTAGGCGGGTTCAGAAAGGCCATATTTTTGGCCGAGCCTACAGGCTCGGTGATACCCACTTTAAATCGGCCTTGTGCCACATTTTATCCTCGTGGGTGCATAGATAAATACAGGAATCAAGAGATTCAACCAGAGACTCTGCCCGACTGCGACTCAGTCAACACATTCTCCAGGAACGGTCTTACCAGGAATATACAAAAGACTCTATGTAAATATTGTGTACACTTTCTTGTTCAATACATTTTGTTCTAAGTACATTTTGTGTTGCATTATTATTCCATGCATTAGTGAAGTTTCAACAAAAATACAAACAGCTTGCAACTGGATAGAAAATTAATTCAGCAAATGCACAAATGAGATAGGGCCGTATGACAAGGTTGCTTCTTCTCGCCGGACTTATTTAAGGTTTGCAGTGAAGGATTAATTATTGCCAGACCCCAAGCAAGGCGGGTGTGTCACTATAACATAAGGGGCTACAGAAATGATAAGGGAAAAGACTTGGTTTGAAAAGGCAGAGGAGGAAAGTTTAAAAAGAAGAACGGGGTTCAAGGCAGCAGAAGATGTCGATCGACATTACATTTAAATGTTTGAACATTATAGGTACGCCAATTTATGAAAGATGTACTCCTTTTTTATCCTGATCTAGCTCTCGAAAAGTTAGAGAATAGGACGAAGAGTCAGGCACGCAAAGGGTTACAGAGATTGAGAGCAAGCGTAAAGAAGGTTGCTCGAGGATATATAGAAAAACAGGGATCAGGATCAGGGCATCAGAAGATGTCAATTGACATTACATTTGTATATTTGAAGATTATAGCTGTCAAGAGAGCAAGTAGGCAGGCGGGAGTTCCACTTGGAGCAGAAGAGGCGATTACATAAGCATTTCACTCCAAGAAAGGCGAGAGTGCCACTAACACACAGGAGGTTATAGAGAGTGAGAGCAAGAGTAAAGAGGGGGTATTTGAGAAATGGATATAGAGAAGAACGGGGATCAGGATCGAAACCTCAGAAGATGTCGACTGACATTACATTTGAATATTAGAAGATTATTGCTAACAAGGAAGTAAGTAGGAGGATGGAAGGGAGTTCCACTGGCGGGAAATGCGAGAGAACCTCTTAGAGTAGAAGGGGCGATTACATAAGCGTTTCACTCCAAGCAAGGCGAGAGTGCCACTAACACTCAGGAGGTTTCAGTGTGTGTGTGTGTGTGTGTGTGTGTGTGTGTGTGTGTGTGTGTGTGTGAGAGAGAGAGAGAGAGAGAGTAAAGAAAGTTTTTTTGAGGAATAGATATAGAGAAGGACGGGGAACTATATCAAGGCATCAGACGATGTCGATTGACATTACATTTAAATATTTGAAGAGTATAGCTATCACGGAAGCAAGTAAGAGGAAGGGAGTTTCACTGGCGTGAAGTGCAAGAGAAGAAGCTGTTGGAGTAGAAGGGGCGGTTACATAAACAGTTCACTCTAAGCAAGGCGAGAGTGCCACTAGCACTCAGGAGTTTACACACAGAGAGAGACAGAGAGAGAGAGAGAGAGAGAGAGAGAGAGAGAGCGCAAGAGTAAAGAAGGTTGTTTTAAAAAATGGATATAGAGAAAGATAACTGGGCCAAGGCATCAGGAGATGTCGATTGACATTACATTTGAATATTTAAGATTAGAGATATCAGGGAAGCAACTAGGCGGGAGGGAGTTCCACGGTCACATCTTGAAGGAGCACGGTATATAGAAGGAACGCGAGATATATTAGAATTCACCTGTGAGATGACATTTCTGACTTGTACACGACGGCAATTATAATATTAAGGATAAAATTTAACGTTTCGTTATAAGAAAACATTCGGCATTTATTGATTTTAAAGCCAATGATACCGTCCGATGAATTTTTTTAAAAAGTATTTCAACTAAAAGAAGGTTTTCAGGAAGACAGGTTTCTCGTTTCCAAATACGGTTATGACTCTTTCAATTACGGAGGAAGACACCCTTCTTTAGATTTTTTGAAGTAGTGTGAAACGTTAGAGTTTTGATGATGCCATTATTTTCGCATCGATTTACATGCGCTAACCATTTTAGTTGAAAGTACTAAAGTGATGTGGTGTCTGTTATTTGTTACTGTTCGCTGTTTGTGATTCTGTAGCGTCAGTCCACAAGGTTCGAATAAGAAAGATCATTTTTAATAATTGATCTGAGACTTTAGATATTAATGAACGAGTTTGGTGCTATACATAAAAAAAATCCTGATCTGAGGAAGCTATGACAGAACATAACATTACAATGTGATGGAAAAGTAACTCCCAATTTTATGTATCAGTGGCCAGCCAGGAGTTCTGACTTAACACTCTGTGACATTTTACCTTGGGGTTGGTTGAAGGAGCGAGACTACTTATACCCAACTAAGACTTTGGAAGAACTTGAAGCACGAATACAAGAAGTTATGTCTTTCATGCCACAAGAGTTCCTGGTGAAATAAGATTCCTGGGCGGCGTAAGAAGATAGTAATGAAATCTGGTGCTCATATTAAATTTTAAGTAAAACCTCATGGCACACGATATCCTCTCATATCTTTTTCTTGTCAAAATTATAGTTAATAAATAAATTATAAGTAATTTAAAATGGGCAGTTAGTTTTCAATCACATTATACAAGAAGCTGCAGGAATTCCTGGTGAAATCAGTTGATGCAATTCCTGGGCGACTCGGGAGGCTGGTAGCGAAATCTAGTATCCATATCGAACTTTAAATAAAACGTCATGCTAAACGCGTTCCTCCCATATCCGTTTCTTGTCAAAATTATTGTTAATAAATAAATTATAAGTATTTTAAAATAGGGAGTTACTTTCCAATCAGCCTGTATATGAGTATAGTAAAAAGTAGATTTGGAATCTTGATATGTTTGTGTTTATTTTACAAGGTGCATAAACTTCTACTCTCAAATCTGTTGTAAGTAAAGGCGTTTTTAAGTTAATCAAATTTGACTTCATGCTAATATTTTAGTTTTGTAGCAACTTGAGGTATTGGGTATCTCGAGCGCAGTCTGTTCTGCATTCAATGTGAACCTAAATACCTAACGTATTCATTTCATTCGATTCATACGAACTATTTCACAAAAATTGACTCGATCTGCTAAAATCAGTACAAGGTTAAAGTTCAAAGGATCCTCGATCAAATTTGACTTTTCTGTTTGCAAATTCTATTTCTGTTTAAAATATTTGGCAAACAATCAATTTGGCCAAATCTCAAAAATAAGAGAAGCATAAAAAATAGGTAAATAAATATCTGGCTTCCATGTTTCAAGGCGATGTTTACAATTTTCAGATTGATTATTGATACGTATTAAGTTTGGCACTGAGCCATAAGAAAAGGGGCGCTTGGGTGATGCTTTGTAAAATTATCGTATTTCCATGATACGATATATCGTACTTCTGATATTGTTGAAAATATATTTGACTCAAGAAAGAAAAAGCACCATGTTCCATTGCTGCAGCCATTGTGGGAAAGAGAAGACCAGTCCCTCTTCACGTTTCGGGAAGACAGTATAGAATAGTGAATTAGACGAAAAAGTATAAGGTTACTAATGAGGTATAAGGTTACAGAGGAAGAGGCATTCTTTAGGTGGGGAAGATAACGGTTGACCCTAGATTTGAACAAGTTATGATTACAGTGAAGTTGGGTTTGGGTGGGGGGTGATTCTTCTTGGGAGTCTGTTCCACAGACCAGTGGTTCGCTGAAAGAAGCTGATTGAAATAAACTTACCTCTCACGAATAGAATAAGGATAAAATGAGACAGGTCCGCTACAGTGCGCGTAGCATGGCGGGTCCTAGCCGTGAAGGTCAGAAATGGCGAAAATAAGGAATGTAGTTCGGCTGAGGACTTTCCATGGAACTAGCGGTAGAGCAATAAGAGGTTTGCCATATCTCGTCTGGGGAGAGGGGTTGCAGACTGGAAAATAATTTGTCACCCACAAGGACAAGGAAACTCTTTTGGACTCTATCGAAAGAAAAAAATGTGGACTGGGCGGCTTATCATTATTTTTACTAATTTAATTTTTGTATGAATGATTAATTGTAATATATATATATATATATATATATATAAAAAAAAAACAGACCACTTTGAGGTATCATTATAATAATTTATTTCACCAGAGCCCTTTTAAAGGACGCCGGATCATATATATATATATATATATATATATATATATATATATATATATATATATAAAGACATTTTTATTTTATACATTCTTTTTATAGATACAAATATTTAAGTAAATGCTCTGTTTATAATAAACAGTATTAACGACATTTACCGGCCATAATGTCCGAGAAATTTTCATAGAAAATATTCGTCCTCCAACAGGAATAAAATCTGTATCTTATACGGAACCGTCATTTAGCCTGACGTGCCACAGAGGGTCGTTCGATTATCAAGGTCGAATTTACTGTGGCTCGATCGGCGATGATAGAACGTAAATTGTCACTAGGCGTCATTCTCCTTATACCATAAATACTGGGCAACCTCTTGCCTCGTTCTCTTTCCTTCAGACCGCGTGCCGCATCCCACCTCGCGTGGAGGTGAGGTAAATCCTCTTTTTCATTTCTTCATTTCAGCGACTACGACTCTCTTAGCAGATAGCGTTTCCCACTTGTGGGAAGACGCCATGGACATTATACACACATAGACGTACCTACGAACATTCACCAAAATACGAACATTCATCAAAATACGAACATTCACCAAAGAACAAACACCAATGTTACACACACACAAATGTTATTGTCCATTGCAAAATTGTTTTGTTTAATACATATATTTGTTTATATATAGATAGTAATTAGTAGGAGGATTTGATAATTATATTTAATTAATTCATCGAGTCTGATAGAAACCTCAACAGAATGCAGAAAGCACTGGGCGGCCGTTTCGTCCTATATTTGGGACTCATCAGCAGTGCGCATCCACTACCGAGAATTGAAACCCTGACAGTTAGGTTGTGAAGCGAACATCATATCATCTGTTCCAAATGGGCCTCGGTGACGAAGAAATTCCAAATCAGACTCAACTTAGCGCCGCTCGCTCACATATTCCGTGGCGGAACTCAACTGAGTTCTCTGTAACCATAGGACGGTGCCCCCTGGAGCTACGACTACTCTCACCAAGCCGCTACCAACTGGAGCATTAGAAGCCGGTTCAAGCGATGATAAACGCAGATAGTAATTAGTAGGAGGATTTGATAATTATATTTAATTAATTCAACGAGTCTGTTTATATATATATATATATATATATATATATATATATATATATATATTATATATTATATATATAGTTTTTTTCATCTTTATCTTCAGTTGGACTTAATTCAAGTCCTACATTTTCTTGAGGGCTAGTCCTTCTTCTATCAGGAAAAATAAACGCACGTGTTTTCTTTTCATCTTCAGCCCCCACCTCGGTCCTCTACAAGGTATTATGATTCTATATATTATTTACCTTATTCGTACTGTTATCCTCATCTTCATTGCCATATTCACAAACTTTCGACCTTTGGACGCTCCGGTCTTCTTCAGGTGATTGGAATTTCGAACGGAACCCTTTATTTCGTCCACCGGGGTAAATTGTTCTCATTCCACGTGCCATGTCTCTACCGAATGTCTCAGCTATTTCTTTCGCTTTCGGTTCATGATATCCTTAGTATCCTTCTGTAGAGCCACATCTCTGTCGTCTCGAGTCTCCTCTTCATCTTTGAGGAATTCGTTCAACATTCGCTGCCCTAAAGAAGGACAGCATAGTATTCTTTTCTTTGTTACCAAAGAAATCCCCCTGTCTTGCAATACCCTGTCCACCTTCTGGAATGCGTTCTTGGCCATTCCAATATGTCTAAGGATCTCGGTGTTACCCTTGCCGTCCTCTGTCAAAACGTTTCTGATATATTTCAACTTCCGACTGAAGGAATAAAAATGTGTGATTAAAATTAAATACAATATTTCTTTTAAAAACGAGACTAATAAAACTAAATTCATATTTTCTACAGCAGGTACCCCAATAACTGTTGCGTTTTTCTTTTATTCTGAAACATACTGATTAAAATTAAAAAAAAATCTAAATAAAATCCTTTCATTTATTAAATGTGTTGGCTCTTCAACGTGGTGTAATGCTAAGCAAACTTGTCTTGATAGAATATTTAGAATTAATTTCGCGCTCTACACTTTCCGCCATGTGCCATATCTGAGCTGCGATTAAAGGATCATTTATGGTATAATGGTTAGCAAGTTTATCTCGCTAGAACAGTTAGGACTGAGTATTGATCTAGATCTTCACTGAGTGCCCTATACATTTGGCCTTGGGGCACATCTAAGCTACGCTTGGAAAATCACTTTTGGGCACCTCGAGACCATGTAATGTTTAGCAAGACTGTCTCGCTAAAACAGTTACGACTGAGCAATGATTTCAATCCTCACTGAGAGCCCCATATATTCGGCCTTGTGCCACATCTAAGCTACGCTTGGTAAATCACTTTTGGGGACCTCGGGGCGCTGTAATGGTTAGCAAGATTGTCTCCCTAGAACAGTTATGACTGAGTAGTGATTTCGATCCTCACTGGGTGCCCTATACTTTCGACCTTGTGCCACATTTAAGCTCCGCTTGGAAAATAACCGTTTATGAAATGGATCTTTATTTCTTTAAACCGCGATATGTGTAAAACAAAAGATATAGATCTGTTTGTCAAAATGTTATGGGATATTTTTTCTGTGATGTCGACCAGAAAATTTTTGCATGAATTATATTTTATTAGTACCATTACTCTATTTCTTCTTCTTTACGTTCTGTGGCGATCATGGATCTCCCCAACTTCCTGTTCCTCGTAGCTATTAACAAACTATAAACCTTGTTCCGCCATACATTTACTCAGGCTCATTATGTAAGTCATGCATTGTCCCCCCCTCTCTCTCACTTGTCGTCAATCTGCCTCGTGAGTTTCCAATTTGCCAATCCTTCCTTCCCCATTACACAGTTGGTAAAATCAGTGTCAAGTGACGTGTGGATAGGCTGCTATCTTAAATATAGACTCCCAGACAGTAGAATGTATTATTTTATTTGGAGTGACGTATGAAGAATTTTAGATTTGGACAAAATATCAACGAAGGGAAAAAAAAACAAAAAATAAAAACAGAAAATTTCATATCAGTTACAGGATCTTTTCATGACAATGGCGGGGTGATTTTAATTCTACTCATGCGAAAACAGAGTTGGCAGATTAGAATTATCTATACAATGTTTGCGTTGAAGATAATTCGATCGTGACTGTATGGTTTGATATCTTTTGTTTTGTTTTGTCGTGCTTTCTTTTGTGAGAAGAGATAAAGTTATCTCCCCCTGGCCTTGTCATACAGGATAAAATGATGGCTCAGAAAGAAGAAAAAAATATTATCTACTTACGGTTTCATTTGTTAAAGATATGCCTTACAGATATCTACAGAGACCCTCGAAAATAGTCTCTTTCTAAAAATATTTAATATTGTCTTCCAAAGATGTATGGAGAATGGCTATAAAATCGAAACACCGGAACTATAACACAGACAGTTACCACGTCACAAGATGGCCGAAGATTAATAAAAACATATTATCAACTCTTCTCCTATAACTTCATCTTTTTCTTCTTCTGTGATTTGTCCCTTAAGGATGTGGGTAATCATGGCTCTCCACAATTTCCTGTCCTTTTTACATCTTATTAAATTTTGTCTTTCTGTTATCTCCCTTAAACACTTATCTGTCAACCAATTTACACTGTAGAAATAAATAGTAGTAATAGAATTAGTATACCGACATATTACATTAAACTCTATACTTCTGTAGGACCACATTTCTGTCACCTCTTTATCTGTGTGGAGATTCACTGACATATAGGAGGATCCGATATTTGCATAAGTGTACAAAAATCTTTTCTTTGTCTCTAACGACATTTTCCAGTTTCTTAATACTTTATTTAGCTTTTGGAAGACGAGGAGATGAAAAGATTGTCCAACATTCAGTGCTATATAGGAGGATTGATATTACATAGAAATTCATCACTCTTTTCTTTGTTTCAAACAAAATCTTCCTGTTTCATAATACTTTGTTTAGCTTTTGGAAGACATGAGGAGATTGTCCAGCATTCACTGCCATATAGGAGGATTGATATTACATAGCAAATTAGCACTCTTTTCTTTGTTTCTTTTGCTTCAAGTCTCCTCTTTATTTAAGAGAAAATTGTTCAGCATTCACTGCCATATTAGAGGATTGATATTACATCGAAATTTAGTATTTTTTTCTTTGTTTCTAAGAATATTTTCCATTTCTTAATACTTTGTTTAGCGTTGGAAGACATGAGGAGATTGTCCACCATTCACTGCCATATCGTAGTATTTAGACTACACAGAATCACTTTACTCTTACATATTACATCGAAATTTAGTATTTTTTTCTTTGTTTCTAACAACATCTTCCTGTTTCTTAATACTTTGTTTAGCTTCTGAAAAACCTGAGGAGATTGCCCGGTATTTCCTGCGATATAGAAGGATTGATATTACATAGACGTACATCACTCTTTTCTTTGCTTCTAACAACATCTTCCTGTTTCTTAATACTTTATTTAGCTTTTGAAAGACATAACACACAGACTGCGCGTAGACAGAGATAGATAGATAGATAGATAGATAGATAGATAGATAGTGTGGAGCAATAGTGAGAATAATTTATCTACATAGCAATAACCAGAGAGCTTTCCGGGGAGAATCGTGGTGGTGATGGAAGATAGAAAGAAATAGTTGCAAACAAATTTAGTGCACCTATCTACTACATTAAACAGTCTGAAGCATGAATAGTTTGAAAAAGAAAAGAAACTCCAATAAAACCCATTAGTACAAAAGCCCATAAGTATTAAACAAGCGTCAATTAATTATAGCAAACTTAGACGCGTTTGTTGACTGGTTTACGCGTCTCGCACCCAGTTGACCCGTTAAGGAAGAGTCGAGGCATATTTTATGTTGCTAAAGGTTTTGGGCGTAAATTTATGAATAATCCTCATTGGTAGAGAACAAGTTAAAACATTGTAACAAAAATATGACAAAAGGAGACAAATATATACTTATGAGCAAGATGTTATATATATATATATATATATATATATATATATATATATATATATATATATATGTAAGCAAATATACGGATATAGATCCGACAGTATGAAGAAAATATATATATGAAAAAACAAACAAATATCCTAATATGCGATTATGCGGTTTTAATGTTTAATTTCAACGTCGGACATTTTCGGTCTAATAGACCATCTTCAGGACATATTCATAAAAACATAATTAACATAGACCATATAAATTCAACGTGAAAAAAGACGATGGACATAAAAGCAATACCAATCCAAACAGATAACTGAAATCTTAGCGTTCCGTTTAAATATGATCACGTCGTCGTCACGTGGGCGATGTTGTGAAAACGTATTCCTAAAATTTGAGTATTTTGAATGAAAAACGAAAAGAATTTTATTTTTGATCTAAAACTTATATGTACGTTACCAAATCTCATGCAACACCTGTGACTTAAAATATGTGGGTGAAACATGTAGGTCCGTAAAATCTCGTATTTTCGAACATAAACGAGATATTCACATCGGAAATTAAAACAATGCTTTAGTTGTACACACAACTAAAGCTGATCATAATTTCGATTTTGATTCTGTGAAGATTTTAAAATATTTTCATAATAAAAATCTTAGGCGGATTTATGAAGCAGGCATAATATCTTTCTCACGCACGGTGAACACTAGACCTGGCTTCTTTAATATTTCCCCTTTTCTAGCAAGATTAATGCTCGACAAACGTACATACGTTGACATTAAACATTAAAAACAGCATAATCGCATATTAGGATCATTAAATGTTGTACCTACATATATATATATATATATATATATATATATATATATATATATATATATATATATATATATATATTTTTCTTGACCTTCAATAGTGACACCAAGAAGCTTAACCGCGAATATGAAAGGTTACTATTTAAAATAAGTAGACGGGACATGTCTAAATTATTCACCGAGACATATATATATATATATATATATATATATATATATATATATATATATATATATATAACAACGTGTAACACAAAATTGTCCAAATCGTGTAAAACAAAAATTCTCCATTTGACAGATTAAGCTTTGAGCCGTCGTATCGTAGAAGTGATTAAAGATATAGTACTGGAATTCTCCTATTGCACTCTACTTTGGACAATACAATTTATTAACTAATTTATCTATTTGACACACACACATACATACACTCACACACATAAACATATATATATATATATATATATATATATATATATATATATATATATATATATATATATACCGGGTGTAACATCAAATTGCCCAGATCGTTTAACAGATTAAGCTTTGAAATGATTAAAGATATCTTACTGAAATTCTCCGAGATTTTTTGTAACACTATTGGCCTCTACTTTGAGCAATAAGAATGTATAATAACTCTCCAAGTTTAACAGAAGAATCGTCATGAAATCGATCATAAATGAAAATGACATGTTCATCATTAATTAATGATAGCTAATGATAGGAAGATGATGAAGAATTGAAATAAAATTCATATATATATATATATATATATATATATATATATATATATATGTGTGTGTGTGTGTGTGTGTGTGTGTATTTTATTCCAGGATAATTTTCCATCTTATTCAAGATGATCTTCGCCCCCTCTGACCTTTTAATTTTCTGTCCTGGAGTAACACGGTGCCTAACATTTTTCCCGTACGCTTTCATTTTCAAGTTTTTTTTTCACTGCTATTTGGACTGTCATAGCTGAAACTCCTCTCTCACGTGCCAAACGTCTTATGGACTAAATTGGATCTTTTCTAATTGATCTATTTAGCTCTAAGTTGAAATGATGATCCCTCTGGCTGCTGTGACCTCCTGATCCAGTTTTCCGCTAAACTGTTCCCTCTTTTTTAAAATTAGTTATCGTTCTTGAATGAACCTTGAAGATGGAAACCAGGGTATGAAAGCCTGAATAATCTTTTTCCTCTCCCTATTTCTCATTTAGGAAAACAGTTGTGCTGACACAAAACGATTTTAACCTGTTCTTTTTCTATCTGAATAATTCAGTGACATTCAATCATTCTTACGGCAAATGGTGTCAAGATGGCTAAACGTCTAATCTGAAAACCTGGAAAAAGAACTTAATTGTTAAATATTTGTTTTTGTTAGTGGTATGGTTAATTATTTCATGCTGTTATATAATTTGTACAATTTTGCTGTTACACTCGATATATATATATATATATTTGAAGATTTTCACCCTATGCCCGCACGCAAGGGGTTACAGAGAGTTGGAGCAAGAGTAAAGAGGCGTGATAGGATGAAGAGAAAGACGGGGAATAGATCAATCAATCTGGAGATGTCGATTGACATTGCATTTGGAAAAATGTAAACAAGATGCCAGGTAAGAGCCAACCACATTGCATATCCGTCACTGGATTTTGTCGAGGACTTTAAGACAAATATCAGGGGTACCAGACCATATATGGCAACAGTATTCCATGCAAGGATCGAATGGTTGATTTATAGATTTGAAGGATGAACTCGAGCGAGAAAAAACTTTCTCTCGCGACGCAGGGAACCAAATTTCCTTGTCAATTGGTTCAATGGAAATGTTCCATCTCAGGTCAGCGGACAGTGTGAGACCAAGCGGTCGCAAAGAGGTGCTCTCATGTATATATATATATATATATGATCGAAATAAAAGTGTAAAATTTAATATTACAAAACATATTTAAACAATAAGAAATGTATAAGAAATGTATTTCTGTTTTAATTTTGAATCTCCCGTGGAAGCCTGACGAGCGGGAGCGAAACCGGTTGCCCCCCCCCTCCTTGTTGTTGAGTTTTTAATTATTTAATATTGTTTTAATATGTCTTGTAATATTAAATTTTACACTTTTATTTCGATCATTAAATTTTGTACCTACAAAAATATCTTTATATATATATATATATATAGAGAGAGAGAGAGAGAGAGAGAGATAACGATGAACTGAATGACAGTCAGAGAGCTAGACAGAATATATTGATAAACAGATTGAGCAGAACGAGATAGATATATGAATAGATGGCTAAATGTACTTTGATAATTTGAAAATGGCTAAATGTACAGCCGAAAGCTCTTGGATAAAAAGAACATTCGAATAGTTCTTATATAATTTATCATCTGTATAGAAATAAATTATTAGATCACATGAGGAATTGTATAAAAAACTAAATCAAAGCACCTTGTCTGTTGTATTCAATGAAATGTGCATGAAATATATATATAACTAGACTCGTTTCGAAAAACCCTCGAATTTTTGATTTGCTAATCAAATCAATCTCGAGGGGGAAAAAAGGTTTTAAAGAAAGGGCTACAAACATGAACTTCTGTCGACAAAAAAATCGCACAGATACAGGTCTGAAGCCCAAAGAAAAAAAAACCCGATACGAGTAACAACTAACTAACAAAAGAGCTCAATACAACCGTAGAGCAGACTTAGATACACCTAGTGAGCCAGACAAACCTACCTAGGTTTCACCTAAACAGATCGTCAGGGAAAAGTTATATATATATATATATATATATATATATATATATATATATATATATATATATAATAAATATTTATGAACCCCCAAAATAAATATATATATAGATATGTATGTATGTATAACAAATATATATATATATATATATATGTGTGTGTGTGTGTGTGTGTGTGTGTGTATAACAAAATATATATATATATAGATATGAACAAAGATAGATACATAGATAGATATGAACATTATCTATCTATCTATTTATCTCTCTCTCTCTCTCTCTATATATATATATATATATATATAGATAGATAGATAGATAGATAGATATATATATAGAGAGAGAGGGAAAGAGGAAGAGAGACAGACAGACAGACAGACAGAGAGAAAGAGAGAGACAGAGAGCTTGTGTAGATTGTGGAAAGTGTATCAATAGATAGATATGAACAGGGGTAGATAGATGGATAGATAATGAATACTCTGAACTCGACACACATTGATTTAACTCGATCGAAATCTTAATGGAGAGAGGGATCTTAACAGACGTAGATGGACAGATACGAACAGGAGGGGAGATAGACATATACGTAATATCATCACGAGCTAGATGTACTTCAGACAGGCAGCTCACAGAAATGGCAGAAAGTTGGAAATATATAAAATGAGTGAGGCGGAAACTCCTGCGTCCGTGAGAAAATTGTAGAAAAATCGAGAAAGTTATTTGCCCTAAGGCAGAGTGTGCTTTCACGATGATTGATTAATCACGTGACACCTCCCGACCAATGAAAAGCCAGCAAAGAATAAGAGTGACTTACCTTGCAGGGTACATTTGAAAGAAATGCAGACAGTGTGAGTTGCACTAACAAAATGCCTTTTGTAGGTAATTTTTTAATTTTTTTTTTTTACCGTGTAACAACAAAGGAAGAGAAGGTCATGTCAGACAAAGACGATGTCTTAAAAATAAAAAAAAATCCAGACAAATCTATTCATGCGTGGTCTGTCCGGGAATTATTCATCTATTTTCAATATCTCAACAACCCGGTGGAATTAATCGTTAGTAATTAAAACGTTACTGAGTGAGCATGGGTATTGTGTGACCGCTTAATGGACAAGGCACTCGTGGTATGACGATAAACTACACCAGGCAGCAAAGCTTCTGATTGCGACATTGGATGTTTTGAGAAGCTTTGAACCAGCACTTAATTGCTAGTGTTCCCAGTTCCACCCTGATTTAGGGTGTTAGCACATGTCAGCGACTCAGCTAGGGGTAAATATCTCCCCCCACAAAAAAAACAAAAAAAGCCCAAGAGTAAATTTTTCTGATAAAATTACAACAATACATTTT